GCTGGTCCCAAACCTGCACACACAAATAACATCACATGAGACCAGAAGACATGGCAGGATGTGCAGAATACCCCCGTTGAAAAACAGAGGTGCAACAGGTACTCTGAGAGAGAACTCTATCAACATCAGAGGTCCGAGACTGTTCAACACGCTTCCACTACACATAAGGGGCATAACTGGCCGACCCCTCACAGTGTTCAAGAGAGAACTGGATAAGCACCTCCAAAGGATACCTGATCAACCAGGCTGTGACTCATACGTCAGGCTGCGAGCAGCCGCGTCCAACAGCCTGGTTGATCAGTCCGGCAACCAGGAGGCCTGGTCGACGACCGGGCCGCGGGAACGCTAAGCCCCGGAAGCACCTCAAGGTAACCTCAAGGTAACCTTGTGAAGAATTCAGGCGGGATAGTCACCTGGCACGAGGCACTGGTAAACTGAGGCGCGATCGCCGTGCCACCACGCGTTAGGTCGGCCGTACGCGTATCAATAAACTCGTATCCCGGTGCAAAGTTCGTATCCCGATTCAAATTTTCTGAACAAATTGGGCTCATAACCTGAAAAGTTCGTAAACAGGGACATTCGTAACCCGAGGTACCACTGTATTCTAAATATATGAAAATGAAGATCATATGCTATTCTGAGAGCATAATAACACTAAATGAACAATTGGTGATATTTTATATTTTTTAAGCTGATATCAAAACCCGAAGTTTTCAATATTTAATTTTATAATTATTTTTTATTTTCTTGTTTTCAAGTTACATTGGTATCATTAGACAAAGTTGGATCATTTGCCTAGTAAATTATACACATAACATTTGAAAGCGTTTCAGCAAATTTTAAAAACTGAGCTCTATGTCCGACTTCATATGGCGTTTTGCACAGCTTACGGTTAAGGGGCTGGGTGCACAGACTTCTCAACATTCCTCAAACACTCAATTTTTTTGTGCATAATCAACATGGTAAATGCTCCAACTTTTCCTAATGGATCAATATCATAACATGAACAGGAAAAAATATAAAAATATAAATATAAAATATTTAAGAATTACATAATTTCAGATTACAAAATTAATTATTAAAATTTCACCAATTTTTATTTGATTCATTATGGGCTCAGAATGGCATATAACATTTAATTTCCTTGATATGAAATTTAGTTTAAGAGTATAGTTTACTGTTATAAAAATAGTCAATGTGGCCTTCAAAATATGTGCAAAATTTAGACGTAAAAATGTATGATTCCCAAAGTTATGGGTTTATAAATAAACGCTATGTGGACACCTCAGAACTAAGAACTTTGCACATAATATGTAAAAATGGTGAGAATCTCTCAGAAACAGAATTTGGAATATTGTCTCAAAGTTAAAAATCCTGTTCATATAGAAAAATGATGGTAAAATTCTCAACAATAAAGATAGTAGTTTGAGTTGATGTCATATCTTATAAGTTTTAATAAATATTGCTTGGCTTTCGTACTTGAATATGTGAAAGTTGTAGGTCGATATATTTTGAAAGGAAGTCAAGAAAAAATTGCCCCCCAAAAAGCTAAATACTGTACAGTGGTACCTCGGAATACGAGTGTCCCTGAATATGAGTTTTTCGGAATACGAGCAGGATTTGCTCAGAAAATGTGCCTCAAAAGGCGAGGGTTACCTCGGAACACGAGTTTGTTGATATTCGTACAGGCCGAACTAGCGTGTGGTGGTACGGCGATCGTCGCCCCTCACCCCTCAGTTTACCAGTGCTTCGCGCCCAGTGACTATCCCACGTCAATTCTTCACCCGGATTTTCAGTGTTTTGTTGGATTTTTGGTCATTTGACCATAAAGTTGTTGTTATATATCTCACCATGTGTCCCAAGAAAGCCAGTGGTAAGGATCAATGCAAGAAAGCCCATGTGAGGATGACAATAGAGGAGAAACAAAAGATGATTCGGAAGCATGAAAATGGTACACGGGTTGTTGAACTGTGGGAAGAGATGCAAACTTTTATTGAAAAGACTCGCCCAGAGAAAGCTGTAGTAGGCCGTTGCCTTAATCTTTTCAATGACAATGTGATGCCTTAATACAGAGACAGCTTGCGAAGAAGGGAAAAACAAGTTTCCATGGACAGATTTGTTGTGAGAAAATCAAGCAGTGAGCCATAACCAGGACCTAGTGGTATGCAGGCAAAATGTGCCAGGGAGTACACACCAGAAAGGTCCTTACTGCCTAATGTTATAATGGAAGGGGACTTCCCTTCCAAACAGTAACACCTCTCCTCCTCCCCCCTCCTCACCATCTTCCATACGCCTACACCATTCATCAACAAGGGTAAGTAATAACTTGAACATAGTTTTGTAGGTTTATTTAGATGAATTAGGTATAAAATTTAGTTTGAAGTGAGGTTTTTGGGGTAGTCAGGAATGGATTAATTCATTTCCCATTATTTCTTATGGGGAAATTAGCTTCGGAATACGAGTTTTCGGAATACTAGCTGTCTCCAGGAACGGATTAAACTCTTAAACCAAGGTACCACTGTATAGGGATAAGGATAATGGGTTAGGGGACATATAAGTATTCTTTATATTAGTGATAAAGCCCTCATCTGGTCCCCATTCAGCAAAAACAACTTAAAGAGACAAAGAAAATAGTTAGAAATTTGTGAATAACTAGGGCAAAAAAAATTAAAAGTCACAAGTTTTGCAACCTGTGGCTTTTTCACATGTTTACCCATTTCGTTCCAACTTCACATAGTTAGTGACGGGTATGCATTCACCAAAATGTAGAAGCCACAACAAAATCAGATGAGAAACAAAGGAGAGAAAAAAATTTACTGGATATAAGAAATATTGGCATTGGGCAATGCATTTATGTGACATATAATAAAATACAACAACATAACATACATACTCATTATTATTTGTGTGAAATTTTGCCCTCCAGGTGGCAATCAGCAATCCTAGAAGGCACCAGCTGCATATCCACTTTGTGAACCCTCCTTACTACTACTCTTCTTTGTGCGTCAGACAAGTGCTTGCATCTCTTTTATCACTGCATTATCCATGAGTTCCACTTACTAGGTGGTGTTTATTGTTATCATCAGTACTGGTTGCACAGGTTTTTTTTTTTTAATTCATGTAAAGTTCATTTCTTAACATATTTGGATGAAATTTTCACGATGCTGATGCCAAATAATTTGAGATTTGTTTAACATTTTATAGTATATTTCATATTTGGATGAATATTTTTGTGCACCCAGCCCCTCAAGTTAACAAACATGGGGTGATATGCTAATTTGCAGTCTTTAGTCTTTTTATGACATTGAAAGCAGCTGTGCATGTCCTGCAGTAAATTATGCCATAGTTATTTGTTTGTAAGGAGAAATGTGCTCATCAGATCCCGAGTATGGTGCATTATGTCTATCGGTGCTTCTTGGAGTCAGTTACATTGTGAGAAGTGAACTGAACTTTGCATATGTAACTGTGTTAGAGAAGTATGGGGGTTGGGTGGATGTTGTGAATGTGTGTGTTAGCTGTAGGCTGGAAGAGTAAAAGTGAATGCTGGCAAAAGTGGTGGATAATTAGGACAAGACACTGCAATAAACTTGGCAACTGGGAAATGTCCTGCATGGCTTGCCACCACCTGTAAGGGAGTATAAACATCATTTTGTGCATTTGTTTTGTGGTATAGGATAATTGAGGTGTCAGCTGTCATTTCTAAGGACTAGTACTGCTTGCCCTATTATCACTACCCTTATGAACAATTTTCTGTAGGTTACAATATGAAAAAACCTCTACTGCCCCATTTTGTAATTCTAATTGTATTTATGGTTGTGGTATTAGGTTAGACAATTAAATTATGCAAACAGTAATATAAATTAGTAAATTATGCTTTAATTTTTTATATCAGTTTTAAATTGGAGGTGCACATTATAGTCACAATTAAGCAAGTGAATCATAGTCAATTTAAGTACATACTATATATAGAAGATCCTTTGTATAGGTTTTGTTGTTACTTGAAAGTTATACATAATCGTTAGGTATTATAAGACATGTGATATGTCAAAATGGAATAACTATATAATTCAGTGTTTCAGTCACACCTCCTTAAATTATAGTTGGTCAGTGATTATCTGATGTATTAGCGCAGATGCGTTAAGATTTCTCGCTATAACTGTGAATTCTTGTTTTCCATGCTCTCAGTTTGAAAAGGAAACCATCTGGAAATCCAGTTCCTCAAAAACCAGATCGGCTGAGGTAGGACTTTGTGATTCAAGTCATGCTTTCGATGTGCACTCAAGCTAATTGATACTTTTAATGGAATTATCAGTTCAGTATACTTAGACTATCCTGGCATTTATTTTCAAATATAAATAAAGTACAATACAATACTTAACATTTCCAGAACATTTTCCTGCAGACAAATAACCTTTCATACAGTATTAGTGCTAATGTATCATTGTTAAGAAGAACAAAGGTAAATCCAGAAAATATTTGGAGTTACTGAGATGGATACCAGTGTGTCATGAGCGTATCATTTGACCTGAGTGCATGTCCCAGCTGTGGCTCACAAATATCGGAGCAGCACTGAAGCTCACCTGTGTGGCCTTCAGTTGCATGGAGTCTAAACCACTTGGAGGTATCCACTTGGTAATTGGATGAGCTCGATTGGTAAATGTGGCTTGTGGCTATTCTTTGCAGATGTTGTCTTGGGATTGGTATCTTGGCAATGTTGGCAAGTATTGCATGTTCAATCTTCATGAAAAAATGGGTTTAGTGTGTAGTATATAGTGTTGAGTATATGTTCATTGTTGCCTGATGTTACATTGCTGTTCAAGAAATTGTGTAACAGACTTTGCGTGTTCTTTGGTTAAGGTATCTCCATCTATTACTGCAAGAATGTGGATCTTAATTTTTTGTTTTTGTTTTTTGAACAGTTGTTTTATTTACAGCACTAATGGAAGAAGGGGCAGTGGTGTGAGCAGATGATTTTTTTCTCTAAATTTTTTTGTTTACAGGTTACCAATGTTTGGTAAATTGTCGCAGTCCAGAGTGTATGGTCCAGTCACCCCTAGCACCCCAGCCTCCTCATATCTTCCCAGGACTCCCTCACTCTCAAGTGTCTCATCCTCTCCATGCCCCTCTCCTCTTTCTAAGACTCCTTCGCAAACCTCGCTTAAATCATCAAAGTCTGACTTAAATCAACTTAGTAATTCCAAGTCAGACTTGACAAAATCTGAGTCATTGAGTAGTGTTTTTAAAGCCTCACGCAAGCTTGATTTGTCAAAAGTGTCTTCCAAGATAGACTCTGGAGACAAGTCAATGTTAAAGAGACCACCCTCGGTCACGTCAATTGACTCTACGGAAAATGGCATCATCAGCCCCCGAAGCCCCTCTTCCAGGAGCACCCCATTCCGTAAGCCCATTGCACCCACCCCTTTGAAGTCCACCAACTCCCGGAAGAGCGAATCACAGGCCAAGTACGATCTAAAATTTTATATACATTGCCATTTGCAGCTAAATATTTTTACTAACTCTGCTGTATATATATATAAAGGGCAGTGTATATGCTGTTTCATGTACAGTACATCTTCTTGCCTTGTTTGTCAGAATGGTTGGAATGCATGAAAACAATCACTTTTCTCTGTATATCTTTCCTTCTGACCCCGGTTATTTGTATACATTGTACATTCATAATGATTAGTCTTATGGAGTTTGAATGTTAGTAGTGGTAAAATGGGAAATTTGTATTAAAATGTTTACATTTCAACTAACCCAGACATTAATTTTAAGAGATGTATGTTGCTTTATATCAAATGTCTGTAGAATCTCTCTCTCTCTCCCTCCTAAATTATGCATCAAGCATTCATTTGTTAACCAAGTACACTGTATCAGCATGAAGACTATGTATAAGCCATGAGGCATGAAACTAATAGGATTAATCACAGTACTGTAATTGCAAGCACATATGAAATTGTCTATAAATAATAATAATGATAATTGTGAATATAGATTGGCTTAAAAGAAGAAAGAATATTATGTATAGTATTGAAGTTAAGTGTAGGTAGTGTTTAAAGGCACTTAATACACTTAAGTGCACTTAAAGGCACTTAAAGGCACTTAGTGCACCATTATGCACTTAATGCATGAGATCCATCCATAGGTTAATGATTTACAGTATTTATAAAATTTAAAAATTTCTTAAGTTGAAATCAATGCAAGATTGACAAGCCGTACTTAAAAATTAATTTTGTAAATAATTAAAATACTGCACTAAGCTCTTTTACAAATATTACATTGTGCTGTCTTCCTCTTGCTCTAAATTCACATTGCATAAGAATGAGACTTGTGAATGAGGTATTGCAACCTGCAGGCCAGGCATGAAATTGATGTCTTGCTTTGGTGTTGATGGATGATGGTTCTGTTGTGAGGTATATCCATTTGTTTCTTTTGGCTGCTACATAACTTATTGTACCATATAAGTACATTAACAGTTGTTAATAGTTTTTCAATGTAGGGAGAGTTGACACCAAAAAAATGTAGGATTAACTATATTGCACTTTATTAGTTCCTTTGTGAAGAGGAAGACTTTGGCTGTTAAGATTTCAACAATAAACACATTTTTTTATTTCTGGACAGATTATATTGAAGCACAAAGGGAATTTACCCAGGTTTAATTAATAGATATTTTAATCTTGAATGATTTATAAATTTTCTCAACTTGTGTGCCTATAAAAAAATATTTTAATGAACTTTAAAACACTGATGATCCCGTAATTTATGATTGTAGAATCCATAGGACTGGGTGACAGTCTGAGTTGGTGCCACAGGGTAAATTTCAACAAGCCTCTGCAGAGTCATATGTACTGGCACTAAGGAGGCTCAATTAGCTCATTTGGCCAACAGCCAACAGCACCACTATCACAAGACCTTTTGGACCTTCCCGCCCCAAGATTTCCTGATAAGAGTAAACCTGATGATTAGTGACTTGGGTAAAAAAAAAAAAAAAAAAAAAAAAGAGATAAACCAGGAACACCACAGTGTCAAGGTCAGAAAAGAACTTTTCAAGGACACTGAAAACCTGTTTTCTGAGACATTCCACTGTCACTCTCTTATATATTACTTCTCAAGGAGTATTAGAAATACACACCAAAATTTGGAAGTGCTCATCATAAAAGCAGTGTATTACCTGACAAACGTGCAAGTCCCAAAGCATTCTATGAATTCATGCCAAATGGAGAAGGCAAAATTTTCCTCGAAAGAAGCTGCTTACTAGAAAAAGCCATACACTTGCAGCCATGAAGGGAAAGGAGAGGAAATTTAGATAGAAAAGGTTTTATTGGATGTCCAAATCCCCTGAGGGCAGGAAACTTGGTATGGACACCAATAAGGAGACACCCCAAACATACCAATGATACAAAGATTCAAGAAACAACTACACATCAGTAAGGAGAGAGAGGCAGAGAGGAACTTTGAGAATGGTATAGCAGACAAATGTAAATCAGATCCAGGCCTTTTCTATAAATTCATTAAGAGCAAGCTGCAGGTAAAGGATAATATTCAGAGGTTGAAAATGAGGGACAGATACACGGAAAATGAAAAGGAAATGTGTGAAACATTAAGCGAAAAGCTCCAAAGTGTGTTTGTACAAAATGACATCTTCAGAGAATCAGACACAATAAAAATTCCAGAGAATAGTATAGAGCACACAGAGGTGTTTAGAGACGAAGTGAAACAAATGCTCCTGGAGCTAAGTGAGAACAAAGCAGTTGGCCCAGATGGAGTTTCACCACGGGTTCTGAGAGAATGTGCGCCTGAGCTCAGCATTCCACTTCAGGTGATTTTTCAGACATCCCTGTGTACAGGAGTCATAACAAATATGTGGAAAAAGGCTAACATACTGTAGTTCCAATCTACAAAAATGGCAGCAGGGAAGACCCCCCTCAATTATAGACCTGTATCACTGACAAGTGTAATAGTCAAAATATTGGAAAAAAATAATAAAAACTAAATGGGTAGAATACCTGGAGAGAAGTGATATAATATAAACAGACTGTATGGCTATCGATTTGGATGATCCTGTGTATCAAATTTACTGAGTTTCTATGATTGAGCCACAGAGATTTTATAGGAAAGAGATGGTTGGGTTGACTGAATCTATTTAGACCTAGAAAAGGCTTTCGCCAGAGTTCCACATAAGAGGTTGTTCTGGAAAATATTGGAGGGGTGACAGGTAAACTTCTAACACGGATGAAAAATTTTCTGATAGAAAAAGGAGGGCAGTAATCAGAGGCAATGTATCGAACTGGAGAAACATCACAAGTGGAGTACCACAGGGTTCAGTTCTTGCACCAGTGATGTTCATTGTCTACATAAATGATCTACCAGATGGTATACAGAATTGTATGAATATATTTGCTGATGATGCTAAGATAATAGGAAGGATAAGAAACTTAGATGATTGTCATGCCATTCAAGAAGACCTGGACAAAAGAAGTATATTTTGTCCAGGTCTTTTGTATATATGTATATACAAAATAAGTATAGTATAAATTTGTAGTGAGACAAACAAGCACTGAACCACAACCAGGTCCTAGTGGTATTCAGGCAAAACATAGGAGAGAGAGTACCCCAGAGAAAGCATCACTGCCTGATGTGTTAATGGAAGGGAACTCCCCTTCCAAACAGGAACAACTCTCTTCCTCCCCCTCATCACCATCTTCCATATGCCATCAAGAGCCCTCCATAAAGGTAAGAGACACTTTGGTACTGTATTGTAGTTAGAAAAAAAAACATTGTATTCAGTATAAAATGTATTTGTTTGTTAATATTTTGGAGGGTGGGGAACGGATTAATTCAATTCTCTTTATTTCTTATGGGAAAAATCGCTTCGACTTACGATCCGTCTCTGGGAACGGATTAGCATCGTAAGTCGAGGCCCCATTGTAAGTCCAGTGTTATCGCCCAACCTACCTGCCTGAACCAAAACCTATCCCTGCCTGAACCAAATCCTATCTGTGCCTGCACATCCACCCACCTGCCTGCCCACTCACCTGCCAATCACCAAGCCCTTCTGCCTGCCATCCACACATCCAGCCCGCCCACCTACGGTGGCCTGATGGCTGAGTGGACAGCGCTAGGGATTCAGTCAATTTTCTTCTGTTGAATGTCTTGTGGGTAATGAAGGTTGTAAGTTAAGGTTGTAGGATGGGTAAGTGCTTCATTTATCATACCAGATACCATCATCATATCTCATGCAAACATAATTGATTGTCTGGATGATTGTGGACAGTTGGGTATGTCTTTGCACAATTGGTTATTCTTAGCTTCTGAAGGCTCGTGATTACAGTACAGTACCATATGTGTATTTCAATAGAAACATTTACTTATATCGACCAGACCACACACTAGAAAGTGAAGGGACGACGACATTTCGGTGCATCCTGGACCATTCTTTAGTCGATAGTTGTTGCAGTCTTTTCATATCTTGTATGTATAATACTTCATGTTACTGTATAATTAACAATGGAACATTTAATTTTAAGAATAAGTTGGCATTCACCTGGTGCCATAATTAGTGCTTTACTTTCAGAAGGGCGGCCCCATGTGCTATACATATAACATGTAGGACATGTTTGCTGCTGTACTTTTTGCTTATTTCTATAATAGTTTGCTTTTGCCGCCTGCCATAATATTTTGTTTCTCCCATTATTATTAAAATAATTGGATAATAATAAAAAAATCTTTAAAGTTAATTTCTTTTATACATTATTGTATCACAGGGACTGATTTTGCCTTTGTTTAGTTTAACAGGTATGGAAGATTTGGGTTATCTTAGTGTAGTTTACTAGATTATAACTCTAGTAGCAGAGGGTGCTTTAATCATGTTTGTAAATCTACAGTACTTTAGACATGTTTTAAAATTAATGTCTATAGATATTATACTAGAAATATATAACTGTATATAGTATTTCTGTATGTATAAATATGGGTTTTCAAGATGTGAAATTATAGTAATGAAGTAAATTAGAAATTCTTTTATAAATTAATTTGTAGATACAGTAGTTGATTCTGAACTATTCTACTTGATTGTTCCATTAAGGAAGAGCCTTCTCACCTATAATTAGAACCTGATGAAATCAGAGCAAGTTAACATTGTGCACTGTCACACTGGGGAACTTTTCAAACCATCCTCATCGGATCATACTGGTGGTAGAAAGAGATTCAAGAATATTCAGTTTAGCCAAGAATGTAGACAGAAAAGTGTTTTATCATAAACGAAAAGCATTTTCAGGCATAACATGGTAATACAGTATTTGCTAAGCTGTCTCTTGGCCATCTACCTATCTACCTACTAAAGTCACTACCATCAATTGCCACCCAAGTGGCAGCACTGACATCACAACTTAGCCCTCCAGACCAGCCTTCTTGCATTGCATTCTGACTCGCCTCTATTTATAGCTTGTAGTATTCTTCTCTG